ATTGCACGAGCTGTAATTGCGAATAAATATTTAATAACCGCACACACGTACCGCCACTGTCGGGCTTTTCTCGTAATAACTGCTGGTACTCATGTGGAGCAGTTCCACGAAATATTCCACAAAACGGTAGACCAGTACCGTTTTGTGTGCGAAGCTAACACATACTTCTCTGTAATTATGCAAGGTTGATGCTGTAAAATAAAATTTTTTCTTAATTATCTCTCTCATTATCCTAGAAAAAATTTTATTTACGTCAATATTAGAGTGAAAATTGTATAACATGCAACACGTGTTTTACGTAAATCAAATATCTCGTTAAGCGTCACGCTGTGCGACTAGAAGGCACATTATTTTTCGAAGATGATCGCAATTTAATTACTCGATTGTGCGACAGTAGTTATCGCGCAAACAACTTGGTGCACTCGCTTGATAAACACACACTCGCAACGAGTACCTGCTATTTCCATGTGTACAGTCGCGTGTCGTAACCGTTTCTACATATGCACGACAGTGTGCGTGTGCAACGTGCTATATTGTATACCGTAGTCTTTTAGGTTCTTATTTCCTGCGTATTGCGACAGATCGGCCTACGCGCTCGGCAAAGCTTTCCGCGTAACGTCGCGGCGAGTCCTTTGATGTCACCGAATCGCGTGGTATAATCATTATAATAGTTTAATAAGCATACTTCCCTTGCGGTCAGCTAGGCTGCTTATAACTGCTCGGCTGGAGCCGAGTTGCGATGCGGGACGTACGAGTAATACAATCGGGATCAGCTGATTATTTTATGTAGATCGTCCTGCAACTTTAAATCCAATAACAGCTCCTGTCGGATAAATTTTAAGTCTTCTCTTTGGGGAAAACGTCGAGATATTAAAAATTTTATGTTACAAGTGATTGAAAAAAAAAAGAGTTTGTTACACATTGAAGTAGACAACATAGGATTCTTGTGTTCTCGCTAAGGAAAAATTTACATTGGTCGAGGTATCTTTATATACATACTTTTTATTTCCTTTATTATACTGATACCTACTCTTTATTTGCATGTTTTCTCTATATTTATTTTTGTATTCACATTTATTCGCGTTTTTATATTACCATCGTGTTTCAATCCGATTTATCTTCTTAACGAACCGTTTTGTTAATTAAAGGAAAAACTTGGTACGAAAGAAAATTAATCGTCCTTTTTGCCACGGGTTTGAGCGCGGGTGAAAGTTAAAGATCGGTTCGGTAAAACCTTCGAGAAGATTAGAATGGAAATGCACTTTCTTATTGCTCGGCGAATACTCACACTTGGGGTGGTACACGGTTCGCGACTCCAGCACGGCTGTTGTTTTATTCGCGCGGGAACCCGGCAACGGCCCGGCGCGCGAGCGGCGCAACCATGCGATTTTCCGTGTATCGCTTGGCCAGAGCGTAGCCTGCAATTATCGTGTGAACGAGGCCGAGCCTCGCCGATGGCTTTGTTTCGTACTTTAATGGCGACTCTTTCGTGATTCCGCGAAGCGCGCGAGAGTCCATCCGGATTCGCATCGGGCGACGAAGTTGATCCCATGAAAAGATATTAAGCGATGAGTTAGAAAGAGAAAGAGAGAGAGAGAGAGAGAGAGAGAGAGAGCTCTCACTCATCGCTTAATATCTTTTCATGGGATCAACTTTGTCGCCCGAGAAAAGAGAGAGAGAGAAAGAGAGAGAGAAAAGAGAAGTAGCTTTGCTCTCAAAGAACGTTGTTTCATTTTCCGTGATCGTTTTGTAATCCGTACCGTTAAGCTTTTCGCGAAATGAAGGAACAATTACCAGCGGGAAAGTGGAACGACATTAATATATATTTCGTTTCCTCGAAAGTGCTACGCACTTACTTTATTTTACTGGCCATTTACTCAGACACGATCCGAGTGCTTCCTGCTAAAGCGCCTGGAGTGCCGTAAGCGCTGGCACTCCTTTAGGTATCGACAATGGATGTTGTTGAAAGGAGAACACGATAGATGCGTTTAATGTGATTTTAGGTGTAACCTATATTATAAACACGTACAAACATATCGATGCTTTTCGATCCGACTCGTATACATATATAGGTACAGCATTTTTTCAAAGCAGCTTTCCGAGCTTAGACGTCGGACTTCCCGAAACTCGCGACGTCGAAATCTAATACGCCTTCAGCACGATTTCTCCGCGCTTCAATTATACCGGCGTTTATTGCCTCTCGTCACGAGCCATCGCGTTCAATTTTTCTTTTTCGGCCCGTCCGCGCCGCGCGTGCAATTACCGTGCGAACGAGGTCGCGGACTTAGTTATGGTAGCCTTCGATGCCGCAGTTGCCGATGCATCGATTCCGCCGAGATAACGAGCGCATGGGATGTGTACTCTTTAATATTCATCCCAAATAGGCAATTATTCTGCACTTAGAGCAGATTCCAGTCTGGCGTTCCGGTCTGCCGGTTGAAAAAATCGCCTTATGAAAATCGGTGGATCGGTCGCCGAATCGATATCATTCTCTACCTCGAAGGTTCTCTTGTGCTGAACATATTAAAAGCCATTGCGAAGCTGCGTCCCACCGTAATGCAGATTTCCACAACCCTTGGAACTACGCGCGTTACACGCAAACTTTCGTTCAGGCGCGCTCTATAAAAGATACGATCGATGAAATGACGTATACGGTATACCTGCATCGGACCTATAGACGTAAATACCTTATATCGCTGCTTTATCATATTTTTGTTGATGTCTCGGACCTGGGAGTTGCTCGGATTCTTTCTTTGTTGTACGATGATAATTTCAACAGGAGAAAGATAGAGAGAAAGAGGGGCGGAGGTAAGGGAGAGAGGGAGGGAGAAACGTTCAGCTGAAGAAAAATCTTCCATACATAAAATGATGAAGATCGTTGGTTCAACAACCGACAATGATTTATGCTACGGTTATATTCTAGGCTTCCCCGTGCTTTTTTTCATAATAATGTTTATTGTCGCGAATAATATCTCGCGATTCAATTATCTCCTTCGTGAAAGTTGAAGGAACGCCTCGGCAAGGAACGGCATGCAGAGTCGATCATGTACTCTGAAGTAGATTATGGTGAAGAAAAATATGTTTTTGTGCGCACCACTCTCGTTTGCGAGAAGTTTCTGTCAAGCGTCTGCTCAGATTATCGATTTATTATCTCACGTAAAGAAGTGCGAGATAACGATAATCCACATTACGTCATAATACTCCGAATCAAAATGACGAGGAAAAATGTGCTATTATTTTTAAATGTAATTGTTAATTTTCTAAACTCTCGGGAAACAGAAATAAAATATTCATTGCAAAATTGCGCGTATAAGTTAATCTATATAATCTGCATATATATCTATGTAATAGTTGACATATTTCGTAGTAAAAAAAAGATTCCCGCCGTCTAGATTCTCGGTATGAATGATGCAAGCGAGCGGACTAAGATCGTAAGGGGGACTTTCAGCTCCGTGATACGAGATCAAAGAGCGTATTGAGCATTTTTTTTTTCTAATCTTTTAACATGCCATAAAACACGCCTACAGAAAGGAGATAAAAATGGATACATGTGTACGAAATAATTATTGCTGCCAAGGGGTTATCGTAAATCGGGACTTCCAGATTCGATAAGAAAATGCCTGTATCGTTTTCTTAACCCGCGTATATGTGTATCATATATGCGTCTGCAACGTATTTTGCTAGCGGAGCATCAGCGTAAGGAGTCGCGATAAGCTACGTAACGATTACATCCGGTACACTTCTTCCTTCACGCAGAGATTATCTGCCGACGACTTAATCTGACTTTCGAATATAGACGATGTTGCGGCATCTCGCTGTCGCCGATTGTTCGATCGCGCATTAATGAGGATACTTTTTTTTTTCACTTGCAAATCAGTATAGGGTCACTCGGACAGCGATTTATAGAGATCGAGAACGGTCGCACATGCATTATCATTGTGGAGCGGGCGTGATAGAATATGTAAAATATCGGTCTGTAAACTTACGCGGCTAGGTATATATTTATGCGCCGCGTCATACTTCTTTCCTCTGTCTCATCTATTCCGTCATCATCCCGTTTGTTCCGATCCTCCTCACGATTCTGCTCACCATCTGTTTCCCTTCGGCCCGGAGTGACCTTTCTTTTTCTCCTGCGATTTCCCGCTCGCACGCATGCATGAATTAATTAATTAATTAATTAATTAATTAAGGCCAGAAGCGCAATTTAATTGCTTCTTGGATCTAGAGTATATGACGTAAGGTTGTCGAAGCGATATGTGTCGCGACCTTGAATTTTCATCGCGTGCCAAGATTACGCTCTCTGGCGAGCCTCGCCGATCAATTATACACCTGCCACTTAGATTCAATCTACCGATCCGATAGTTTTTATCCAATTGCGACGAGCACGTCGTTAACATTCGCATTAACATTATCTTTATGTAAAAGGAGAATCTTTTCTAGTTGCCTTTGTAGCACTTGTACGATCGACAACGTGTTTCAAATTCGTAATTGTTCGTGATGAAAATTCGCGTCTTATTTGTGTCTCTGTTTCACTACTAGATAGAGCCTCATTAAATTCTCGGATTTAGCCGAGTTGCTAAATTGTACGCGCTTTCGGGCGTCTGACAAAACAGTTATTCGTCGATTTTCGTTCAGACATAGCGCGCGATGATCTAAAGTAAAAGGTAATGCAAGAACTGTTTACTAAAGTTAGAATTGAGGTTGCACACGGGATAAACGCAACTTTCTCTAATCCACATTCCTAGAGGGAGATATATTTTGCTCTGTGCTCTTTCCAGTTTATCATACTGTAATTTGCGTAATGCACAATTTTCGAAAGGTCTACGCGATGTAATATACGTTATTTTTTTTTGCAAAGTTAATCATTATTAGAAAAATATTTCAAGACCGTTTATTATGTAACTGTACAGTGTTACCCATAATTTATCAAATTACTATATTCTAGCAACAAGCGCGGAAACGAGTATTTATCTTGATTTTCGATACTTTGTTTATCACAGATGTCGACCTGCAGACTCAGATCGATGCCTCGCTGGCGATGCCGGCCACCTATCAGACCCTTTGCGCACGTGCCCATTTGGCCCAGCAATGTTGCGGCCTGGCGCGTGAACAGACGAGGATCTGCGAGAGGCTAGTTCACGATCAGCATCTCCAGCAGCAGGGCTGGGCCGCGGTGGTCGCCAACCTCGAGGACATCACGCATATGTTCCAAACACGAGCCGAGCAGTTCCAGCAGGCCTTCGTCCTGTACCTCGCCGAGAGGCAACAGCATATGAAACTCCTCGATAAGTACGATCCTCTCTCATTTCTATTTCATTGATGCGTAAATATCACTTCTCCACCAATGATGCGTAAATATCGGAAAATTTTATTCTTTTTCTTCAATATTTTTTTTAAATTTATTGTCAACGAACTTATCGGAAAGCTTTTGCAGGAGAAATTTATGGTCATAAATTAACGATAATAAAGAGAGAAGTGAGAGTTTCAGAGAATTATAGAATGTTGCTTTTACGTGCACATTAGTTGCGTAACTTAGTCAATAATTTATGAGTTCGACAATTTTAATTGGCAGGATTGCATCGAACGATACCGACGGTACGATTAATGCGCTAAGGACCGGTTCCGTTTTGTAGATTTTACCCATGCTATTCGAAATACGGTACGATTGAATAATAGTGAGAGTACGGATTAGCGATCTTAGGATGTTACGGGATATTAAACGAATTTTTTGCAATGATTTACGAGCCACTGTAGCAGTTACCAAGTCAAACGTATAGCGTAATACTACTCTCCTTTAATTACAATAGGATATAATTACCATTGAATCCACGTTTTAATTATCATAGCTTTGATTACCATGTTTAATCGCGGCTGCTTTAATTATCATTAGTTATATCGTTAATGAGTAATTAAGTGATGGTAGTACTAATTTTATCCTAAGATATGCGCGTCAAAATTCAATGGAACGTCAAATATATATTAAAAAAATTACTTTTTAATGTCTGATAATATTCCAATAATTTTAAATATTTTAATAAATATCGAAATATCGTTTTTCATGTTAAATAACGAAGTTACGCTTGAAGAAACGAATACAAATTCTATTGCAGCTTTAGCGCCGATCTCGGTACTCTTGCGAAAATTCCAATTTTGCCGGCCTTGCGAGCCCAAGCCGAAGGCTTATTGAGTCCGGACGATCAACCGAGTCAAACTTCCGAAACCGCGTCGGAGGACAGTGGGGAAGTACTGAGTTTGCTACGATGGATCTCCGCGAAAGACAATCAGAGCAGCCTGGAGCAAGTGGCAGAACAGTGCTCGCGTGGCCTGGAGCAGTTCGATGAACGATTGATGCAATCCTTGAAGGCGGAAGTGCACGCGGCCATCGATAATGCTAACAAGCAAGATATGAAGGAGATCAAGGGCCTAGGCGAGAGGCTGTTTGCCCTGGAACAGCTAATGGTGCAAACTAAGAGGATCGTTCACGAGCAGGGCGAGCTTGCTCAGGGTTTCCTGCAAAATCAGAATCGCGCGAGCAATTTAGGCGACGCGAGTGTCCTTCCAGATCTTTGCAATTCTCACCGGCGGCAATTGCTCGTCATGTTGCAAAATCACAACCAGCTGCGCGACATCCGCCGTAGGTGCACCAAGGCGAAGGAGGAGCTGTCGGTGAATATCTATCATCGCCTGAAGTGGATTATGTACGTGGAGAACAAGATGGTGGAAGTGGGCAACAAGCTAATCATATATCACGAGAGCCTGAAGCGGTTACGACGGCATCTGGAGGTTCTCCAACAGATCCACTTGGCTCCGCAAATGTACATAAGCGCGGTGGTTGAGGTTGTTAGGAGGCGCACCTTCTCGCAGGCTTTCCTCGTATGGGCGAGCAATCTGGCATGCCAGCTGTTGACTGTTCACAGCGAAGAGTTGGCACGTAGACGAGAGTTTCAGACCAAATTTGACGGCCACTTCTTGAACACCCTGTTCCCAGGTCTGGAGGACACGCCACCGCCCTTCGCAACGCAGGCACCTTCCGTTTTCGACAACGGGTTACCTAAGGTAAGAGTTAGATCCACGAGAGGCTTTGTTAATTGTTGAAATAAACATTTACGAGTGATTAATTTTTAATATCTGATTATAGCTGACCGCGGACGACATGGAGTCATTGAGGTCGCAGCTTCCAGATTTGGCGCTTACGATTTCTACGCCGGATTTGAGCAGCATCACGCAATTCTTCTTATCGAAGAGCTTTACCGAAGGCAGCACCGATGGCAACAAGGAGAAAGACACCACATCGGTGAGCACCGATATTCCTTCAAAAGAACAAGAACGCACTAGAGCGCCGTTGTTGTCCGACAGGTGAGTAAATTCATTATGTTATCGTTTGTGCAGATAAAAATGGATTACACAAACCGCGAACGTCACATGTATTCGATTTTCAGGGGCGACTTTGAATCCGAAACCGACACGGAGGAGTTTGAGAAAATTGGTCAAGCCGGCGTGGATGTGACCAAGCCCGGCGTGTTTGACGGGGCGAAACAGAAACGGCAGAAGCAAATGGAGGTTGGTGCCTCTCGAAGCGTGTCCCCCGCTTCCTCGACCTCGACTAACGTCTCCCCGCTAAACTCGAAAGTCGCGGATTTAACGACGCGTTCGTCCACATCAAGCGAACCCGGCTCTTTCCAATTTCCCAGCCTGTCCGCCACGAGCGAGCGCCCGGCGCAGCTAAGTCCGCTGACCGAGTGCGTGGAGAACGGCGCCGCCGATTCCTCCAATTGCTTGCTTCGCAGCGGCGTGAGCGGCCTGTCCAACTATCGCGACGCCCTGCCGCTCGAGGACCAACATTCCCTGAGTCCGAATCCTCCCTCCTTGCCACGGTCCTCCGTCATGTGCGACGGCCAGCATCAACAGCATCAGCATCCGCTGTCCGGTAGCGGTGGTAGCAGTCCCTCCGTCGGCGTGGGTGCTACCGACTTCATGGGTACCGAATTTTACATGGACGAATCCCTGCCGAGCAGCCTCAGCGAGCATCCCGCCGACGGCCAGCATCAGGCTATCGTGTCCCTTCTTCAGGTACTGGACGACTTACAGCTCGCTAACAGACAACTACCGTAGTCGTAGCCGTAAAACGTTCCGTAAAGTACCGCCTTCGTCACCACCCATCGATCTCTAAAATCTAAAATTAATACGTTATGAAGTGTACAACTTTCTCTTTCTCTTCTTTTCACCTTTCTTTATTCTCTACTCTTTCCCGTCATTACCTCCCGTATCAAGATGTCTAAAGTATTGCTCGGTACGTCAAACATACTAAGTAGTTGATTCGCTTTTCTTCTTTATGATTTTTAGGTACTTTGTTATCTTTATTCTCGTTAGAATGAGCTATTAGAATTGACTATATGCAAATTAGATCTCGTGAGACGTGGGTATGTATTACTGTTTGACTTATGTTTCGCAACCTCGCTCGAACTATAAATTGAACAAAATCTCCCTGATTTCTATACTGCTTGCATAAATACAGTATAATAGAGGCACGCGCGTGCGCGCGCGCGTGTATATATATATGCGTGCATCTTGATTTTTTACAGGATAGCTGGCGTCGCACTCGTTTCCCAATTCCTCAAGTCACACGTCCCTTCAGAACCCATTGAACTCATCCACACGATTTGCTTACACAAAGACATTCGTTCTAAATTTAAATGATTGCAATTTTGCGTATCGGACATTCGTGATTCAAAATTAACAGAGAGAGAGTGGGAGTTTCCCTTGACTAATCTCCTTGACGAATTCTCCTTGACTACTTCACAGAGTCGAGGACAATCCGTTGCACAAAATATGCTTTCGGGATACTCATCGGAACATTTTTTTGGCGCTCGCCATTTCAGGAGAATCTCGGTAACACGCGTGAGGAGGTGGAAAGGTTGCGGTCTATCCTGAAGACCATGAAAACGGTCGTATGCGAGGAGCTCAGTTCTGTCCGGAATGAATTGGCGATCCTGCGAAATCAGTCTAACGAGGACAAGAGCGGCATCGTCGAGATGACGGAACGCGTTCGAGTGGCGTTGTCTTTACACTCGCGGGAGTATGACCGACGTCTTCAAGAGCGCGAGCAGGAGCTGACGATCGAGCACGAGTATGAAATAGCGGACGTTAAGAAGCTGATGCAGAGTCGCGAGGAAGAGATCTGCACGCTCAAGCGTAATCTCCTGGAGAAGGAAACCGAACTGGCGGAGCACGAGCGACTGGTAGCCACGATGCGTCAGAAGTTGGAGGACGAGCAGATCGAGAGGAGGAACTTGCAGACCCGTTTACATCAGCAACTCGAGGATTATTCGAGGATACTCGAGCAAGCGCGCATAGACAGGGAAGAGGCTGTGAAAAAAACGAATGACGATAGATTCCTCGAGATCACTTCTTTAACGAATTCACTGACGCAATGTCAGAAGCGAATTCAAGACCTAGAGGAGAATCTGGTCACCGCGCGCAACGATCAGGATAGAATGGTGAAAGAGGCGACTGATAAGTTGCAGATAGAATACAAGACGGAGTTGGAAACCATTCGGAGCCGCTTCAAACTTATGACCGCTTCTACCATGGAAAGGAGCCCCAGCGATTCCAGTTTAGAGAAGATCGAAGTAAGTAACTTTCCAACGTGTTTTATTCCGTTGTTATTGAAAATGAAATGGGGGAAGATGTAAAAATGTTAATTTTATTTCTTTCAGCGAACAGACGTTATCGAGCTCGCGAATCACGAGGCGATTCTGGCGCAAGCGAGGGAGGACATGAAAGTTGCGAACGCCATGGCAGTTCGTACTGCTATCGTAAAGGAAAGGGCCGATTGCATGGCAAAATTGGACAACGAATTACGATTGGCGAAGGAAGTGGTCGAAGAGAAAAATAGGGAAATAGAGATGTACAGAATGAGAACGGAATCGCTGAGCGAACAAGTCAAGCAATATAAGAATGCGATAGATCGATTGGAAAATTGGAGACTTGGAGAATTCGAACTGAAGTCGGAGATACAGCAAACTTTGATGGAGAAGGTATTGTATCATATATCACATGCACGCCCATTTGTATATTTAATGAGAATGATGATATAAAAAAGATCACTCTGTATATTTGTTTATTTGTATATTTAATGAGAATGATGATATAAAAAAATTATTCTGTATATTTTAATATATTTTTTAAATATTTTTTTGATCGATTGTTATATATATTTTATCTTTTCTATCTTGTGTATAGATGAAAAGTCTTGAAGCGGACAAGTGTTTGGAGAGTCAAGAAACCACAGAGAAGGCTATGCTAGCGGTTTTGGAACAAAACGAAGATATTGTGTATCCTCTAGAATCTGGAGTGTGCAAAGACTTGAGCTACGATCGGTTGGACGCAGGTCAAATTGATCTAGAGGACGTCTTTAAGGAATCCGAAAAGTATGAGGTCGAGGTCTCCGAATCGAAGAAAGTACGATTGGAAGCTGATGACGATGATCTGGCTCGGCTGTCGAGGCGACTTGAATCTCTCGAGAATGACAACAAGAGGCTATCCTGCGAGCTAAATTCGATACGCGCGAGTAAAATGGCGGCCGAAGCGAAAGTGGAGGCGTTAATGACTGACAAAATTCGTTTGGAGATTGAATTGCTGAAGGAGCGAACCAAGAAGACATTTGGTATCGACCCGATGCCGGAGAGCCGCGACAAGGACATGAACGCATCGGTCGCAGTGGTTTCGGACTCCAGTTCAAGTCGGGACGCGGCCACGAGTCCAGAGCCGACGAGTCGACGATCATCTTCCAAATCGTTGTGCTTCCATCCCTCCCTTCCCTCGTACATACATAAGAAGGTCGCGGAAAAAGTCACGAAGATGGTGCAACAGGGAATTGTCACCATCACCAGCTGCAATCCAGGTGACGTGGTACTCGTAGTCTGGGATGCTGTGCACGGCAACTACGCGGTGTACCAGGAATCTTCAACTTTTTATTTCCTTCATTCGGACTACGTGGACGCACTGGACGTGGGGATGAATCGGAGCGGTTCTCGCAAGTGCGTCCTCGCCGAAGTGATCGACAAGGAGTACTGTCACGCCAGAAAGGTAAGACTGTGTGTTGTTGATTAATTTAATCGCAGAATGTAGAGTTGCATTGTATGTCAATATTAAATAATATATCATTATAGCAATAATATGAAATGAAATATAATATCTCGTGTTGTTCTCTTTCCCCAGCACGAAAATCGGTACCACGTACCACGTGGCACGAAATTTTACAGAGTGCGCGTTAAGCCACGAGATGTACGCGCGCTGACAGACGAGACAGGTTCAATGTCGAAGAGTCAACTACCGTAATTTTACGTTCAGACTGTGCCGAGAATCCCTTGATTCTTGCCTAGTACAAGCGCTGTGATCGAGGGTTTGCGTCGGCAGGCCGCGTTCGTTAGGGGACCAGCGACCCGGAACGCAAATCCCGAACTTACGTCTCCGCAACCATCCGGAAACCTCGGATCTAGGCCAAAACCTGCCAGAGCCTCTAGACGCATCCTTGATATCGATGATGAACGCTGGAGGGGGAGTGATCCATGGAAAAGAGGTATGCGCAAGTTGGTTAACATGAAATGAGACGGAAGGATGCGCCGGCGTTTTATTGTGATATAAGTAATTTTTAAACGAGTGAAACATATTTGCCGAATGCTGTGGTTAGCTGTGAAGCGTAACGATATTTGTATTCTTCGACTTTCCTTTTTTTCATAAACGAAAAAAAAAGGGGATGTGAGTATCGTCGACGATTCTCTCTTTCGATAGGCTGACCAGTGTGTGAGAGAAAGAGAGAGAGAGAGAGAGAGGGATTGTTTAACTTTAACATTAGATGTATGTATAATGCGGGAAGACGAAAGCGTGTCCCATCAGACAACGTTCAGCTTCCTCTCTCCGCATTCCAATAATTATGTTTGCAATGTGTGAAACAAGAAGGTGTAGTTATAAGTTTTACAGAATCGACATACTACTGGGAACGTGCGATTTATATAGTATGAATATATATATATATGTATAGTTATAAATATATGTATAATCGCATTCGATTACATATATAATTATATATTATATATATATTTATAAATAACAATATATATGTATATAATTATATTATGCTACACACAAACACAAATACACACACACACACACACACACACACACACATATACACACGCACGCACACACACTATTGTACGAGGCGTGCAATATCTGCGTACAAAAATCTCATGGGTCCTAAAAATTTTGGGGCTAAGATTTTGTAAAGTGAAAACTGTCTCGTGAATGTGTTGTGCAATTTCGTAAATATATCTAATAACATCGGGTTATTTATACGAAGAGATCGTATCGCGACATCGACATATTTTCGACGATTCTCTTTTGACATTGCCTTGCGTATTTTTTTTTGTCGTCCTTTCACGTTTTGCTTATCTTCAGCCGCATACTTTCATTTTTCTCTTCTCTCGATACTCTTCGCAATCCCTTTGTATAGTATCAACGAGTTCGAGAGATAGATAAACGTAAAATTCAATGTTTCGTTCGGAATGGAATGAATGGAACAAAGGCTATAGTATCATTCAGTCTACTTACTTCGTCTACATACAATTTTCAAGCGTTAGTTTAAGCAATGCCCATCGGAGAAAGACTCCGAGAAAGAGAGAGAGAGAGAAAGAAAATGTACTCTTCGCGTATACTTCGCGTAGAAAAAAATTTTATAAATGTACACGTACACGTATATGTATATATCCTTTTCTATTATTTGACTGGTATCCAACGCGAGTATACTCACCGCCACACAAAAAGAGTCACTTGCGAAGGTTTACTCGTAAAAACTTTAGTTACATTATCGTATCATTAAACATTGCTATTATCGTTTCTCGCAACGCGTAAACACTCGTAGTACAGTACAATAGCTGTGATTGTTAGCATCACGTTCTCACTTCTACTTAGTCACTTCTACTTAATTAAACTTAATTCCTCGCGGTGTCGAGCGATGATCCGTTCTCTGCTTCGATCGAAGACGCAGGTGTGTAAAAAATCTTTATTCCTTTTGTATAAAATGAAAAAAAAAAATGTAATGCGAAACAAGTCCTCGATCTTTGGATGAGCGACGATCATCGTTCGTACACGCGAACTGTTTCGAATTGGTGCAAACACAGAGCGCCGGTAAAAGGCGGTTTGCAAAATATGCTGATACGTAAGATAAACTGTTCGGTAGGATATTATAAAGCTACGTCGAGCTCCTCGTCGAGGAAAAACGACACGTTCGCCTTTGGCGTACCGCGAAAAAGTAGTAGCTTGTAATTACTCTTTTGTCTTCTCGATTCGAAACGCACGTGTATGTACACCGCACAGGCACGCGCGCAAGACGACGAAGACCCCTTAATCACGATTCCCCGAGGACGGACGGAGATATTAAGCTTCCCTTCTATCTCAGAAACACCGGTTTCCTCGTCTCTCCGTCGTCGTCATCGTTCATCGCACGAAATCGCATACGGAGAGAAAGGACTCGCATACATCGAACTAACGCGATCGCTGTGTAAAAAAAAAAAACGATAATAGTTTATACTATTGTATAAAACGCGTTTTATTGCCGTCATGACGACGTAAAGTTATTCAATTCGAATCGTAGATTCGATCTCCATATGCGATTTCTATGTCACGTGTACCTACGGTTCCTACTAGACCAAACTTTTTCGTAGGTTCGATAGCGCCAGGGAAGCTCGATGCACCGAAACTCTCCAAGGCACGCGACACTAAATATCATATTGCTTCGAACTGAATATTTTTCGATAAGCTCACTTACTCTCACACTTGAATGATCGCTCTCTTTTTTAGATATATTTATAAATTTGCAACACCAACAGCGTGGCTATTGAAAATACGCGAGTGATTCTCATTTCATCGTATACATTTGGAAGTAGATAGCGGCGTTTCGTCAATTCTTGCGAGAAGAGAAAAAAAGAATAAGAAGTGTTTCCACAAACGCGCAACTTCCAAAAAATTCTAAGTCATTATTGTCATCTGCGACTGCGTGATCTTCAGACTAATTCAAATAATTTGAAGATGGAAGATTGGAAAATGAAAATCTTCGAAAGGATACTCACCATTTTCGAAGGAAAAGTAGTCTATTGCTGTAAACATTTGTAGATAGATGTGTCTACGTATGCGATATTGATTTTTACACTTGACGCGCAGTTCGAGAATTGGCGAAGAAACATTAAACTCCGAAGTCGAAAAGCGGTCCTTCGACATTGCTGTTTATGTTTCCGCTGAGAATCTCGAAGCTCGTATCTACGTGCATCTTCGAAACAATTTTTCGCACCATGTGGCACAGGATTAAAGCGTGGCAGTGCTTTAAAGCGCAAGCTGCTAATTGTCTTAACTTCAATTTGTCGTCCTTAGAAGATACTCTAACGAACTATGTTGTTGCTCGAAATATTTATTTATTTTTTTTTTTAAGAAAGTGAGAAAGATCTGTGTGTAATTGCGTTTTCTGAACTGTGTTCAATTACCTATCGATTCTGATAGTTACAGTCTTATTTCGTTAAATTGAGAATTTAAACATTGAAGCGTTTAAGCGTATAAGTTATAAATGTATTACTTACTGCGAATTGCTTGTAGACTCGGTCAAGGATGACAGTTGATCTTGTTCGACTTGGAAATTTATAATAATGCGAAATTTATTCATTCAGAATTGATTTACCGAAAAAGAAAGCACAAAAAAAATAGAATAATTAGGAGATAAAATTTTCCGACAAAAAGACAAGTAACGCTAGCGATTATTGAGATCGAATTTTTTAAATGAATAAGCATAGGATAAATGACGTTTAATTATAATTCTAAGTTCTAACTTAGTGAGATTCTGTTTTTTTATATACCTAAAGATGTAGCGGTAGAAAAGCTTCAATTTGTATATAGCTAAGATTTTTTAAATTTGTAAATTAGACTTTGGAAATTAGATTTGTAAATTAGATTTTGGAAAATTAAATTAAATGTACGGTTTGCCAGTATATCATAAGAACGAATAGACCGAGATCAGTTCGCGGCATCCTTGATTTTACATTTCATATTCAATTGATCAATTAGCATTGATTTCTCTTATTGAATCAGATTAAATTGGCGAAGAACGAATGATGTGTACGTTGCGTTATGTGAGAGTATCTGTCTTTTGTAAGAAGAAAAGTGTTGAAAAAGTACCAAATAACGGCGCAAGATCGACCGCCGATCGAGGCAATGACACAATCGTTTTGACCTAGTTTAAGGATCACGTAACGCGATACAATACGACCGTGCACATGGTGCAATTTATAAAATTGATCTGTCGCGCGAGAGCAAAGCCTCCTCTCTGTCTCCGTCGCATGTAGCATCTGCTCTCAAATGCCGAAGGGAGTGATCGTTGTAATCTCGTCAGCGCGTTGTCCCCTCCGTTTCTCTTTTTCCTACGTAGCATATTTCCCTCCTGACGCTGCATTATCTTAGAACTCTCGTCCTGGCCAGCCTGCGATCGCGCGGACGTGTCTCGCATCCGTTCCGTTCCGTGTGTCCTGTTACGTTCGCCGCATGCGAACGCTCTCGTGAGAACTCTCTTGTAAGAGAATAAGTAAGGAAGATATCGCGCATGTGTAATCGAGAAAGTGTAATGCATAGGCATAATATAATAATAATAATAATAGTAATATTGCATAACATACATAACAATTGTGATCGTGAGAGTATCTGTTACGAATAAATCAGTTGCAAATAAATCTTGTGACCTTTTTCCAAGCTACGTCGACTCTGCTTCTTGATCCCTTCCACCTGTTTGAGACCTACGTTAAGCATAGCCAAAGAAAACTCGTGAAATATTGTTTTTCAGTAACTAGTGCAAAATCCAGTTCAAATATGCCCCTTTTTAGAGAAAATTTTTTCAACCTTTTTTTTTAAAAGCTTCAATTTTAATTTAATACAAAATCAATAAGCAATGCTCGATGGAAAAGTGACTAATGTTTTGCAATAAAACTTAATAAATTAATTACGAGCAAATAAACGGGTCTGTCGGTTCGGAGAGAAAGTGCAACACTATCTTATATTTATTTATATAATACAAATGAGTAAAGTGGCGAGAACGTTCTCTAATGATGAGGAATGTAGTTGTGCGAGTCCTGAGGGCATCCCGGCAGCAGGCTCGACGTCTCCTCGTCCGTGGAGCTGCACAGCATCCCGACTAGCGTATAATCTACAAAGGGTGGCAGGTCCAAGTCGGCGGTGGTCGGATCGCTGTAGCTGTTAACGGTTCCGTGAGCCGGCCCAGCGCTCACCATCTGCGGCACCCGCTCGAGGATCTCGCAGGTGTAATGGCAACGTTCGTTGCTAGGATAGAAGAAGGATTCAGGGCTGTTCCGGGACTGGACCGACGTCTCCGCCACGCCGGAGTTGTGGAACAGCCTCTCCGCGGTCTCCGCCGTCTCCTGGCTGCCGTAACAGCCTCCTTGAAGCCTCTCATCCAGATTCGCCCGGATCGAATTTTGATGAACGACGCGGTTGTGCGGCTGGTTCTTAGCGTCACCGTGCTCAAATATTTGGTGATAGCCGTCGAAAGGATGATACGGCTTACCCTCGGGACTGCAGTTACGTCGCACTGCCTCCTGCAGATCCTCGCTCTTCGGCTTTTGGTAGAGACCGTACTCCGCCCTGCTCACCATCACAGGGGGCTGACAGCTGTTCTTGTAGCACTCGACTTCTCTACGCGAAGACAAGAGATCCTCCTCCTTGACTTCGAAACTTTCCAAATGTAATCTGTTGTCCTGTTGATCCTGGGACCAATAAGACTGTTCGTTTTCGTCCTTCGCGTTTCCCTCGACAAAACCCTTTTGACTCTGCGTTCGGGGATAATTCTGATAGCTCAGTACATCGTTCGCAGGCTGATTCTGATTCTTCTCTTGGATGTAATTATGGTGCATCGTCCTCCTGGAAGGAAAGCCGTTAGAGACCTTCTCGGGCTCGAAGTTGGCAAAGTGGAGTCTCTCGTCCTGAGGCAGGCTCAGGTGACTGCTGCTGGAGTCCTCGCTGAGAAACTGGTTCCAGTAACCCTGATCTTGATTTTGCTGTTTCATCTCGTACTTAATGGTACCGCTGCCGAGGTCGAGTAAAGTTGGTGGTGAGCGGGCCACGTCCTGGGGATTCGCAGAGAAATCCGGCCTCAAGGGTTGGTCCAGTTGAAAGATCTCTTCCGGTTGAAAGAGATCGCCCGTGAAGGGCGGAAAGTCGCCATACGACGCTTCTTGGGGAACCTGGTTTGGCAGACAGTAACCAACGGGGTTCTCCTGCGGCGGAACGTCCTGCAGCCAATAAGGTCCGTCTGCGGGGGGCAGCTGTTGAGGATATATCGTTGTTTGATGGTGATGAGACTGCGGGTACGACGGTACATTCGTCTGCAGCGAGCACATGCACTCGAAGGGCGGGCACGAGCATGAGTATCCTACAATAATTTCACATTATTAGATATTCGAAATTTATCATTAACTTCATGATAAAACTGATATAAATATAATTTTCTTAATAACAAAAACTCGTAACAAATAACAAAACTCGCAACACACAATTGTTATATATAATATAAATAATGTAAGTAGCAATTTATTTTTCGTACTCCGATTATAATTTATAAGAAGAGTAATGCAATTTTCACAATTTACTGCAGATCGTATTTTAATTAACTGCAATCAATCTTGCAAAATTAAAATTCTGTCAAGAATTTATAACCTATATTTTATGCACACCCTGGTATAAAAGAACTATTAGTGCAGTAAAAACACTACTGAAATGCAGTATAGTGTCACTGCACTGCTATATGCCAGCAGTGCCACTACTACATTTCAGTCGTGTTATCACTGCACTAGTGGTTCCTTTTTACGAGGGGCAGAGTCCCAAAATTCGTGAATTGAGAAATTTTCAGTAGACAAATTAAATAATAAAAGTCAGAATTTATTTTATTACATACATTATCTCGGTTCAAATTACGCGATAATTTTTGAAATACGAAGATTTAAAGCTAGCCAATCACAGGCCGTCGTAGCAGCGTAAGTTGGTATACAGGTGCACACATACATTTAGTAGCATTAGCGTCGCGCGCGTTCGTAATGTTTGTTGACGCCGTACGGTAAGAGCCCAGCGAAGTCGAAATTTGTAATCTTATACGACTTGAAAGCGAGCGAGTATGTCATCGAAAAGTGAATTCCGCTTCCGTGAATTCGACCGAGTGTGCGCTAGTTATTTCGTCGACGATGTTCGATCCCGGCACGACTCGCTTCGCGACGCGAGATTCGAGAGGTTACAATTACCGACTACCAGACGTCGCATCGCGTTGCGTGCGTCTCGCGATTTCGAGAAAATAAATCGTCCGCGAATTACGCGTCGCGTTGATTTAGCGAATGTAAAATTGTGTTTTGTAAAGTGGCGTCTGTTCAACGTGAAATTCGAAACATCGACATTTTAGGAGTGGATGCTGTCGGGGACAATTGACGGGGCGACGATGTTCGGTGAGTTGATTCGATTTTCTACTTGTGTTTACGAGAACATTTAGGTTAAACACCTCGGGTCTAGCAATGAGACTTGACATACTGTATATAGAGTGCTCTATAATGCAATCTGAATCCTAATCATGGATTTTCTAACGAATCTGCAGATTTTTTGTAATGAAAACATTAACTGATAATTGTAGAGCTAAATAAATAATGAAGAACGATATTTTGACTCGAGGAATTAGGCAAATAGACTACAAAATTGTACGATTAATTTCAGATAGATTTTGTTGCAACAGAATTTTCATTTGAAGCCAAGTTACAAAAAGTTTAATTTTGTCTTTTGATTCTCAACTTTTGTTTCGTGCGCCTGCCAGTACCCGTCGCCGACGATATCTGTTCGCTAGCGCCATCTAGCGTGAACGATTGTCGACTCGCGACCGCGGCAAGAGTAGGTACACGTCGGTACATACATTCGATACTCTCGTTACTCTCGTAATTGAAATTCGAATAGATTTAGTGACGCCTGAAGGGTCATCTTAGTCTACAATGGGAATAGTAAGTCGTAAGCCGCAAAAAACTAAGCAATTACAATCGATTCTCATGTGAGATCACTCATGTGAGATGAATATCGCCTCGTATACATTTTGAATGCGATAGCAATAAAGCATAAAATAGTAACCTTTATCAGAGATCAATGGAGGTGGCTGCGTCGTTCTCGACGGCTGCTCGAGCGTGTCCGTGCTTGATCTTTTAGTTCCTCTTAATGACATTAACTGCAACGAAACATATGCATTTCATTGTAATTTGTTCATTAAACGCAACTTTTTATTAATTGCAGGAAGGCGCGGCGGCCACAGATTGTACGATTCCATTCGATCTCTATTCATTATAATGCGGTAAGTCATTTTTCTCTTCGCTTGTAGTTATATAATTTGTCGTAAAATGTTTTATGCAATGTTATACAACGGAAAGATATATGTGCAATTATTATCAATTAAAGAGCGATCAAGAGCGACAAATATATCCGGTCGATATAATTTGGAAAATATTATATATAAAATTGGCATTTAATCCTTTATTCGGAGCCACGATAAAAAAACCGTGAATCTATTCTCGAATTGATTACGCGATCGGATACGAAATTACGGACTGTTACCTTAGAACCTAGAGCAGCCTCTCTCGCCAAAAGCACCGCCAGTCCTCTGACCCTCCTACCGGCACCCACGCTTCTTCGCGCCTCCGACGTAGATTTCGCTTCCGGTCGCGGATGATCGTGCTGGCCCTTGGCTTGGAAGAAGATCGCGTGCTCCGTGTGCCGCCAAAAGTGCGTCACGGGATAACCGCAGTGACCGCGACACGATAGTATCTCCAAGCGACCGGTGCACTGTCTATTGGGGCATGGTTTGCCCTGTTGCTTCTTTCTGGCCTGCGGATACGGTCGAAGCACGTATTGAACGAACGAGGAGAAATTGTACTGTGTGTGTGTGTGTTGATAGATTAAATAATTGATCTCTTGATTCGGGAAATCATAGGCGTTTAAAGATTCAATTGCAGGATGCGACTCGCGTAAATGAAACTTCGAATTACTCTCTCGATTATTCCACGAGACGTGACAAGTGTCGCACAGGCGAGCGGACGGCGACGTGGAATTTTGCGTCGTCGCAAGAATGCCGGCGAACGCGTGTGACTATCGCGCGCACGCAATTTACATTTATTATCGGGCCGAGATTTATGTTTATCGTTCCGTTATGCGCTTCGCTCACCTTATCGCAGATCGCCGGTCGGAGGTGAACCCTTCCACCGCCGGGCAGTATGCACTCCTGCGAGCACACCAGAACGCCCAGGCAACTCTTCTTCAAAATGCTCACGTTGTGATTGTTGGTGTTTCTCATCGCCCAACCGGAGGCGTGCCTCCTCGCTTCCTCGCAATCCGGTCCGTAGACTCTCCTCACGTGTCCGTCCGCCCATTCGCACCAGGGATCGTATTCTACTACCTGAAGCGAAATCCTATTTTTGAGATCGCGTCGCGAGCAGGGACGCGATTTCATTGAATATCTTCTGCGGCGGAGTTTGTTAAGCGCGTCTCGGAAAACAGATATTTCGCTCGGATTCGCCTCGAGCGCGAGGCGCGAGAAAGGAACTTACCCTCGGAACATTCGAATCGTTTATGTCCCACTCCTGATGAGGATGATGTTGCTGCTGGTTGCCGGCGACAGTCGCTGACATCGTCGGCGACCCCACGCGACTCCTGCAAAGAGAATAGATTTATATTTCACAATTTTTTGTAGCTTTTTCAGATTTTAAATCTTCGTCATAATCGTTCCAACAAATCGGCATCATTATTCAGTGCAATAATCGATTTTGTTGCGATCGAGGATTAACCTTGAGACTTTGCAATTACAGAGTTGTCTGGAATCGAATTCAGGGACTAATTTAATGTTACGCAATTGCGGTCGTGCCACGAGTCCGGCAGCTATACGGGATAAAATCCCGATTTATGGTACGTGCCCGGCCGTACCTCGCGCAATACTTATGGGAGTTCGTGGGTGGTACGACGCGACATGGAGCACGTACAGCGTCTTTCCGGAATCCTTGCATCCATTGCGGATCGGATCGAGGTGCGAAAGATCGATCCTCGATACTCCCTATAGCTACCCTCGAAATTTGTCGGCGGTGTATCGTGTCCGCGGTCGTACATTTATCTTCGTTAATCGAACATTTAACGCATTCAACGCGCTCAATAAAAGGTAGACAAAATTATTAACAACTTAAATAATACGTTAATATTAATCAAATAGTGATAATATTTTAGTTAATAGCGATCAATATTGCGAAAAAAATCGTTCCTCTTTATTTCGCAGTTTTTGCATACAAATAGATTTGTTGTCTCATTTTTGTTCAACGCAACGCGACGATTTTGATGTCGACACTTTTTGCGAGAATTTGACGTGAGTTGAGAAAATCTACGACAAAGAATCGTGTGAAAGTGCCGGCATTTGATTAATTTGTTCTATCACGTGTACTAATAAGGATGAATGTACAGCTAATCTTTGCGCCCCCAATGGCTTTTGTTGCCGGAGTCTCTCTTGCTTAAGCGGCGCAAGAAACACTTGTGCATAAATCCTCTTATAAGTGTATCTCTTCGCGTCAGCTCACAAACCAGCTCCTGCCTTTCCCCCGTTGACATTAAAGTCCGCGCTTATGATCTGTGGCGGCATTACGGTATGCGAGGACTCCTCGAGTTGTGCAGCCGAGTGTGCAACGACCTCCCGATCGTATATCACGCCTCGAATAGATTTTTCAGAGCTGTGATCTCCGCGAGAATATCGCACGCACGATTAATAAGTAATTGAGGAATTTTCGTAATAAATATGAAAGAGAAACGCGGATCGAGATTAAACAATTTTTGTCGTTTCTTTCCCAGGAACTTTGTTTATTGCAATTTATAAAAACCGCGCAAAAAGATTCTCGCGCGGAATAAACTTGATTGACCTCTCGAAATTCGAATAACCGCGACGGGCATTTGGGCGGACATTCGATTTTCTCGGTTCTACTAATTTAGGTATCGCGAATCCGCGGGCGGACTTGTATATTCATTCGTACGGATTTACTTGTCGCACGTACGTTCGGCGACGGCATTTCGAAAGGATTTCCGCGCCTCCTACGGTGCTTCGCACAGGTTACGCGTTATGTGCGTGCGCGCATCATTTCCGTTGGTTTTATCGAGTCGCGCTTGTATTCGGACGTTTACGATCCTGGAACACCTACTCGAGAACGCCTCATCGCCTGTGGGTCGCGTCTTCAACCACGCGGACCACCTCGTGAAACCGTTCTCGATGCATGACATGATCACTGTCGAGGAGCCGCGGTTCCAATTGCCGCGATTACAGCGGCCGCCAATCGCGTAAAACACGTTTACTGCGCCCCACGATTCGACGCGCGGGCATTTATCGCCCGACATATTTCGTCTAGATTTCTGATGGCGGTCATTTGCATCGCGTTGCCCGCGGCATCGTAGAAACGACTCGGACTGGCGGAATGACTTGTTCCATTGCACGTCGCCTCGCGCTTGTCGCGCGCAACAATTTTCTCACCTGCGTATTTCATTAATTTAAAAATAAGGGAGATTATATAAATGTTGTAAGTATTTTTGCTGGTGTCACGGGATGTCTCGTATAATGGTGCAGATTTTATAATTGACAATTATAGAAAAATAATTTACGATATCGACGTACCGCGAAGAAGAATCGGATATTCCTATTACTTCGCGCCGAGCGATAATTCTGCAATTCTTTTGCGATGGTTCGTTCTGCATAGCGAGACGACGACACGCAAGCCGCGTTTATTATACATTACGTCAACGCTTCTCTCTTTCTCTCTTTCCATGGAAACGGCAAGAGAGTAGAATTGAACTGGGAGGATACGATGGGGGGGAAGAGGACAGCTTTAACGGAGAAAAGAGTTAGCTTAGGTGAATGATTGCCCGGATCGGTGATAAAGTCATCGCCTTTAGCACCGAGTAAGATGATACATCGGCGGACGATGCTGCGCCGAGATTGTCCGGAGCCGAAGACGTACGCACACGCGCGTGAACACACGCGTGCATTCTGGCGTACTGTCATTCGTGAGAGAAAAATAGTAAAAAGAAACGAGGCGGAGAGAGAAAGAGAAAGAGAGTAACGTGGAAAGAGAAGGGAATGTGTCTCTCCGTCTCACGTCTTCCTCGGTGGTGTGGGTGCAGCGTTCAGAATTTCAGATATTAAGGTAGATACGAGCCGCGACGAGGCCACTAAAATATCACGAAGGGCACGCCGTGAAAAGGAAGAAATTTCTCGCTCTGTCCCCGTCCCTTCCTATTTCCTTCTTTGCCTCTCTCACTTTCTCACTTCGTTCCTGCTCTCTTGGCTCTCTCCTGATTTCTCTCTCTCATTTTCTTCTCCGTCCTCTCTCTCTCTCTCTCTCTCTCATCCTTATTCGTTACTGTCCACGGTATCTGTGTCCGTTCCTGCTCGTAGCTGGGCTACGTCTGGATCTTTCCGCGAGATTAGCTCGCGAGTTAATCTCATGCTTCTAAACAAGTTAATTCCCCGCGCTTTTGATTCGAGTTACCGATCGTGTCGTCCATCCGGAAACACCGTGCCGATAGTTATATTACCCATATCATAACTTCACGCTTCGTTCGTCCGTATTAATTTACAATTTATAATTAATCTTTTATCGCATTTTACTGCATTCCACGTAACTTTTAAATAAAACTGACGTTAAATAAAAACAAAAATTTTATTACGTGATTCCATGCAAAAACAATTATTTAGTGGGTCAAAATATATTCAAAATCTAAAATAGTTATACAACTTAACGTTTAAATAAAGAATAATAAATTACTGAAGTTTGTATCAGCAATATAGTTTTTTTACGTTAACTGCTCATAAATTTTTTTGTCTTGATTTTTCCGATTTAAAATTTATTTCTCGACAGAAGTATTTAATGTATTGACTATTTAAAAAATCACATTGCGCCAACAACGTTATTTTTTTTTACTCTGAAACGATAAATCCATACGGTACTTAACACCTACACGTTATCTTTTTTTTTTTTTTTTTTGCTCACCAACGACAGGAGTCAGATTACTCAGTTACCATATTTGTAAGATAATCGACGCGCTCAATAATATCTATCATTTATAGCTTGCGATGGGATATATAATATAGATTGCACCTGAATTTGTGCACCCGTTTAACACTTCATTAAGAACAATAAAATAAAAGATTAGCGATTTATGTTTGTGCACTTCTGCAATATAAGCAGCATTTCAAAATCATATAATTTATCGATCAGAGAGGACATTTTTTAGCAGTTACATTGAATTTTTTTTAAATTAAAAGGTCATCGCGTGGTCGATCTTGTGAAAACTATCTTTTAATCGATCTCGAGGACGAAAGAAATATGAAACATAATTACATAATAAAATAAAAAAATATTTTTTGAAATAATAAGAAATAAGATTAAAAAAGAAATGTATTTCACAAATTTTTGGATTGTTTTTGAAACTGATCAGTTTAATTGGTAAAACCGATTATTAGTTGTTTATGTCACTCATTCGTGTTATTTTGCTCACACCGATATCAATCTTTGCGATATCAGTTTGTTTACGAGGACGATGTGATCCACGTGTGATCTCGAATAGCAAAAGAACGGAGCAGTTGGAAGGAAAAAACTGAGCAAAACATGTCGAGGCTCAATGAAACGTGATAGAACGAAAGAAAACCGGTCGAGCTGGATTTTTGTAAATCTGACTTTTTTTGTTGATTTCGTACGCCGCTCCAAGAGCACATTCAGCGAAAGAGAGAGAGAAGGATGCGAGTACAATCAGTTCGACGCACCAAATTTAGAGAAGCACGTGGGTCGCCTTCTGACCACGAGACATTCGATCGTAATTAATATCACATAATGTTACGGTATATTGATCAGCTAACTCAAAAATTCTATTGAGAAAATCTTAATCAAAATCTTCGCACGAATTTATCGCAATGAGATCGCAATTTTTAAAATCATTTAATTATATCTTATAATTAATTCACGCGCAGTCAATTTGATGTAAAAAAATCATAAAGGAACGTAGCCCTGGAAGAGCGAGTAATTCAAAATTTTAAATGTCATTTTATCCCATCCTGCATAATATCGTTGAATTAATACCGGATAAACTGTCAACATCCATTCGGCTGCCGCGACATAAAAGGATTCACGATGGGGGTGGGGCCCGCGAAGGGTACCGCGGGTTCAAAGGGTTTTTCGGACCGACGGACAGAGAGGGAGAGAGAGAAAGAGAGAGCATTCTCGAGATTCAAGATAAAGGGGGATCGTCTTACTCGCGGACATTCGTTTAATTTGTCTTCGAGGTGTTGAGCTGTGATCAATGGCGAGGCAGCAGTATATCCTTTAATCGGGTTTTCACAAACCGACCAGACGGTCGCCACTTCTCCGATTTGGAATCCTGGATTGTCTTTTTATCTCGATTAACACAACGAGCGAAATGGTTGTAGAGAATTTACTTAGAATAGTTCTTAACATATAAATTGGAAAATGTTTTTACTGTAATGCATTGCAGTCAAATTAAAAACGGGAATTATTAATGCATTGTATAGTGGAATTAATTAAACGGAAATATTAATTATATTATCTCGAAATTGTTTGGAATGAACATTGTGCGCAAGGACTTCTTTTGATTGTCACCCTGTCAAGGATATGAGCTATTTAATATGAAATAAAGTGAAAATAATGATAGAAGACACTTTTGTGATAAATTACAAATATCGAAGAAGCGACAGCTCGCGCGCACGAATGGTCGTGCAAGGCTCGATGAGGCGCGCATGTGTAAACGAGGGATTTCTAGAACACCTAACGTCCAATCAGGCCTCGTGATAACGCCCACACACCAATGGGAGACCCGCAGAACGCCCATTGATTAGATAGCAGCTCAATTTCTCTCACTATCTGAAGGAAGAGAAATCGATGCCAAGCGCAAAAGTTACTAATTTTTTACGCTTATCGAGTTAACTGCTGAAACTCGTGTTTTATAGGGTCTAAGTTTAATTCGGAACGAGAGAAAGATAGTAAGAAAAATTGACTGACATCGATGAAAGCTTCTCATAATTCATATGAACGATATGTTAATTTCAACCGTAAATTGTAATTTTTCAAAGAATCAATCATAGATCGATTAAAATATGCCGTTTTCTTGGCCCGAGATTAAGACGAATACGTTCGAATAAATCGAGATAAACGCAGATACTTACAGAACTACCATAGTCGATGCTGTTTCGTAATTGATGTCTCAGTGCTTTGTCGTGCCAGCCACGGTAGACGATTCGCGATCACTATGGGCGTCCTCCCGATGATTTATCACAACTGCGGAAACGCGCCACTTCGGGAACCACCGACGGAACACGAGGAGACTGCACTTCACTCAGGAACAGTTTTTTGAAATCTTCGAGAATCGAAATCTCCGAACATTTCGATCACCGTCGCGGTATCATGGGAAATGACCAGTTTCTCTAGCATCTATCATTTTGACAGTCGGTGAATTTACAAGCGCTCGTAGATTCATATTGCCGATGATGTTTCCTAGGCCGTTTTAACCTTTGACTCTCTCTCTCTCTCTTAACGAGAAGTGAATTAGATTCTCGCAGGCGTCTGCGGTACGTCGATCGATTTTGACGTTTCCGTCGCTTCAGAGTGAACAGGTTGCGTGCCGATGCGTGCGGCACGGCGTCGCTGCGTGAACTGAGCCAGCTCCACCACGGTGGAAACTAGCTGGACTCCAGGCACGTTGTGCCCGGCAGAACGCGAGTTATACCGTGGTTGCCACCATATGTCGGCAGGCACCGCCTATGGGAGTGGCAGTGGCTAACCAATCGCTGGCTGTTTCCCTTTTGAGGGTGCCTAATCGACGATAGCAACCCCTCTCGACCCACGGAGGAATCGATCACCGGAGGTTCCTCCCTGTGGCAACCGGATTTCTCCCGAACTTCGTGGTCCAAGGCTTCACCGGTGCTCTGTTTCGATACATCGAGATTTGCACGAAAAATGATACAGATAGCTTCGGAAACACATCTTTTTTGGATCTCTGTCCTGTAAAGCAAAAAAAAAACGATATTTGCAAATATTTAGGTAGATTTTAGAAGAAATTGATAAATTTTAATAGTTTTTTATTTCTTATGTATTCAAGAGTTTTGTTTTAACAACATTAATTATTCGTGAAAGAGTTACAGAGACGACGAATGAAATAGTAACAAATCGAGTCTATGGTTTACAATTACTATTAAATATTTAACTTGTTAATTACATTAAAATTATTTAACACTTAATGATACATTACATAATATTTTAATTCTATCGGACGAATACTTAATATAAATGAAATATCGTTGAAATATCGTTCATTGTGAAAGAACCGAGTGTTAATTGATTAATCCTGTGGCGCGATGGTCTGAGTTCGTAATCAGCTGGCAAGAGGGTGTCCCTCGCAGGAACCTCCTACTTCCTACCTTCCCTATCCCGTTGCCTCCCCCAACCCCAGGTACCCGCATCCAAGACAACGGCCCGTTACGCTTCGATCGAACTCGAACCCACGACGCAAACATATCTGCCGAGGTGAACGCGTCCTCGGAATTGTGAAGTTGCGATCTCAACCCAGAAAGAGGACATAGAACAGACACACCGCCTGCCGCGGATATATCGCTGTAACTTTTCGAAAGCTAGAACAAACCGTTTCGACATTGTCCATTCTCTTTATACACATCGCAAACGCGATTCGCGGTCTTTGCCACACGTTTCATTTTGCAGAGCTTCCTATAAATCGTCTGACGATACAGGCATGTCAGGTTGCTTTCGAAAGTCTTATCTCACATTAGATAGCGTAAAAAAATGGTCTTTGAAGTTTTTGCGCAGTATTTCTGGTGTTTTCAATTAAATTTTCGACGTGGCTCACAACGTTTATTTTTTTTCGCGCTTTTATAAAATGAGGCTTATCGTGTCCGACAATCAACTTCCGCGCTTTACTCGCACGTGCGATTTGAGAGATGCGCTTACCTATTCTGGCACGTGCGTATTGTAATATTTTTGGCGTTACTTCCTCCCACGTGCACGCAGGTGCATGCTAAGACTAAGCTTAAGTGAAATTTATCTAGAAATTTTTATTCCTTAAATAAATGTAATTCTGAATAGAATATGAAGTTTTCGACCGAATTTCTTAATTTCTGTTTATAAAATTTCGACCTGACTGATTTTTGAGGTGTTCATCATTGCTGTGAAAGCGACATTGTGTATTAAGTAATAGAAATTTATTTTTATACTAATACAAGTGGTGTTTGATGCTTGATTCTGCGTTAAGCATTTTCTTGAAATCAAAACTAATTTTTTAACGTTTTATATTTTTTATAATTATATTTATATATATGAAATGTACAACTATCTTTGGCAATGTGAAGTCATTTAGAAGAAATCAGACACTACCCTTATGTTTTGTGCAAAGCCTTGGATATATTACAGCGTTTTAAATAAAACCAATTTTTCAAAGTTGGAATGTCGCTACATAGCGTTTTACACCGGATGATGTCTCTCTTCGCTCTGCCTGTCCCTTTCTCTCTCTCTCTCTCTCTCTCTCTCTCTCTCTCATCCCCCACATCCTCTGTAGATCCATTAAACATGGAAGGAACCGTGGAATCGGCCGGGGTGGTGAGGGGCAGCGGCGGGAGGAGAGAGACACAGTTCGAGGCTGTTTAAATACAGAGGGTGTGCAATCAGGAGTGTTTGCTGCCCCGCGCGAGTGAGTGAGCGAGCGAACGACTGAGCGGATCAAAGGATAAACGTTGGTGGGTTGGGGTGGCTGATAGCGAGCTGATTTGATTGTCGGCCTCCGCTATTGTCCCCGAAACTGGCCTATTGTACGCCTCCGTGACAGTACACTCTGGTTACTTGCACACAGGTACCGCTCGCGTGTACCGGCGAGGCGAGTACGTTCCTGTGCATGACACTATCTCCCCGTTCGCGACGTCGCGTCCCCGCCGTTTCTACGTAATAAACGCGCCGCGAGATTGCACGATGCCAGCGACCGCTCTCTCTCTCTCTCTCTTCCTCTCTCTACCTCTGTCTCTCTCGTCTTCCGTCTCTCGAGACAATTATTGCGAATTATTGTGAAAGAAAGAAAAAGATCGCGCCCATTAGAATTTTTACGAGGCTTTTCTGACAAGCCATTAATTTGCCTCGTCGCTTCGCGAAATTTCTTTTATTACGTTTTTAAACGAATTTTTTTCGTTTTTTTTAATATTCCATAAAATATCTTACAAATGTCAAGATTAATAATATGCAGCTGGGAATTATAATTATTTTTTGTTTTTTTTTTGCTCATTTCTTTATAATTGATTTTATAAACAGTTGCGAAGTGACGGCGTATCACACTATTCGAGAAGGTCAAATTTTCGGGCTTATCCGCGCATCTGCCTCGCATTTGCATACAATGCTAGTCGCGTGCCTTAGCCAGCAACGTGTAGGAGGAGACTAAATCCCCTCTCTCAAAACTCTTAAATATTCTGTCACCTGTCAGCTACGTGCGCGCGTCCTTAAACGCAATGTTCACTTAACAATCCATGATTTTCCAGCATTTATATCGATTAAACCATTCATTACATTCCATGCCATAATTTGGAGCAGTCTATTTTTTTTTTTAATATTTATTTAAGATACGTCTATTTTAGATCTTTAAAATTTACGTCTGTTTGGTGATGCAATTTCATTTACATTTCCGATGATCGCTGCTTTCAGCAACACTTACCTGGTTGAAAGCCAGATGACGAGAATATAACGTCGGTAACCCGCTCACGTCTCCGGACTCGTGCCGGCTGCTTCCGGTTTTTCAATGCGATGCTGCCTTCTGGGCCCCGAGATCTCTATGATCTGATGTGAACTCCATAATCCATTCAGTGCGAGTCAATCCTCCGGCTGCTTTGTAAATCGCTCTCGGGGAAGTTACGAACTCGCTCGACGGAAAATGTTATTGACATAAACATACATGTACACACACAACTCGGAGAAATCTATTTTTGTTACCGTTGTCGCACACTTCAATCACGTGAATTAATCCGCTGATAAACATCGGAATAAAATTAAATCGGAAGAAAATACTCACCGATATTTGTCAGATCGTTACTTTTCGCGTTTACTTTGCATCTCGATTTTTTCTTTCGACGGCGATTTCCGTCGGCGGAAGCTATGAAAACATTACGGGCTTCATAGCGTGCCCTCAAAAAAGTTGATATCTATTGTCCCGGCGTTTAACCGATGTTACCCCGGAAAACGCGCCCTTCAGGTCGAGGAAAAAAAACCACCCCTCTGCGTGATCCCTTCGAGGCATCGCGACATATGCCTCGGTACTACCCACGACGAGGAGTTTTCGTAATCGCCGGCCAATCATCTTTCACCTCGGCAGGAAACGCGTGCGCAAAAGGGTTGACTTCGACGAAGAGGCGGAAAGGACTCGTCACTCTTTCACTTTAATGTTCATAATGCGGTCGTACGATTTATCGGTAGAAAAAATGTTTATAGGTCGGACATGCTTTAGGATGATTCATGAAAAGGTTTTCCCTGATAATCTCCGCTGTCATTTAATTACGTAATTAAAAGATTCGTGGTTCACACGGATGATATCTCCGTCTCTTATCACTTTCTTCCTATTTTCCCACATTTATTACGTTGAATCGAGAATCTTATCTGTCAAGTATCGATACATGATTTCGATTACCAGAGTTGAGATTAATGACGCATCCTAACGACTGGTTGTGAGAAGAATGGGGGTACTCTTGGCGATCGTGAAATAATGTCATATCTCCAATAAAAAGAGTCAATGATTATCCAGAATATTTTGTGAGGTTATTTTTTTTTGGACAGCGTGGAGCGGTGTAGGAAGTTTTAAGATTTAAGTACCGTGTTGGTTTCCCTTCGGCCGAAGGACTCCCGGCTTCTCATTGTGTGCCAATTGAGCCTCGTTTAAGGAGGGGGTGGTAGGTTAAATTGATTTAAATTGGTCTCGAAGAGCGCGCCCGCTCTCGCGGAGCGGCGTGAAAGGCAGGGAAAAATATCTCGCTCCTATCGCCAAGTTGAATCTTTCTATGATACGGGAGCATTTATAGAAACTCCTTACCTGTCTCTTTTCGTAGGTCACTATTATACATTTTTTTCTGAAATTTCGTCGTGTTACGGAGTCACCCATTAGGGCACCCGTATGCGCTCAGCTGCGAATTCACGATAGGC